ATAATATTCATCATGGATATTTATGCACGTTTATATCTTTACAACAACTCTTTAATACTTATACATTAATATGATATTTATCATGAATATATATACAATTTAGTATAACATTCATCATAAATATATATATATATATACATATATGTATGTATGTATGTATGTATGTATGTATGTATGTATGTATGTGTGTATGTGTGTATGTGTGTATGTGTATGTGTGTGTGTGTTCACATGTCTACAATAACTCTTCAGTATTCATACATTAATATGATATTCATCATTAATATACATTTTTACTATAACATTCATCATGAATATATTTGTATATGTTCACGTGTATACACCAACTTTTTAACATTCATCATGAATATACATACTATTCATCGTGAATATTTATGTATGATCACATGTAGACAATAACTCTTTAATATTTATATTATTATGATATTTATCATAAATATTAATTTTCACAATAATATTCATCATGAATATATTACAGTTTCAACTCTACATATTTTAGTTTTTTTTCCCTTTATTGGGTTCTCGATTGATTTGGATGAGTTCACGATTCGTCTCGATAGATTTTCCGATACATCTTGATAAAATTAAAAGTGGTAGGTTATGCTTTTACATAAACAAACACACAATAAATTAATCAAAAGGTTTTCAATCGGTCTCGATGAAAAATGAAGGTGTTATATTACAATGTTACGCAACCACACACCAAGCCAATAGATGGGTTCTTGATTAGTCTCAGTTGGTGTTGATTGGTCCCAATGGGTTTTCGATCAATCTCAATGTGTTCTTGATTGGTTTTGATGGGTTCCTGACCCGTCTCGATAAAAGTTGAAAGTGGTAGCCTATGGTTTTACACACACAAACAAATAATAGTTCAAATGATCGATCTCGATGGAAAATCAAGGTGGTTGGTTATGGTTTAACACATATAAACATATACCAAGTCAAATGAATGGATTCTCGACTTTTCTCGATGGGTTCTCGACTGGTCTCGATGGGTGTTGAGTTACGGCGATGAAGAGCACGATGCCTTACGACGTTCAAGTAAGTATTGAAGAAGGTGATGTCGAGTTACAGACTCACGGTGTCGAGTTGTTATACAAACTTGAACTTAGTAAATATAAAACACATATAACATTTCACGTAAAAAACGGTTAAAACGAAAAAAAAACATTATCGAGATGAACGTCATATCGAAAAACATGAAATTCTCGTTTTTTTGATGTAATTTGTTTGATTAAAATATTAGTAGTTTTTAAGATGATTTATTTTAAACTTAAGGGGGTAAAAGCTTTTAATTAGAAAAGAAAAAAAAATCAAATAAGGCCGACGTGAGATTGAAAGTAACTTCATTTTTTACTCCTAATCACCTTAATTAATAAATCTAATTAAAAATTGTATTTAATGTCAGTTGTTGGATCAGATAGAGCCCGGAGGGGGGGGAGATCAGTCCTCACGTTTACAATGGAACTAGAGTTTGCAATTGAACTTCTCCCCCCTCTTCTCTCTCTCTCTCTCTCTCTCTCTCTATATATATATATATATATATATATAACACTATATTGATACACTGATGGCTCTCGTTGATCTAAAACCTTGAGATTATGGTTTATGGACCTTATAAATAAATGTACGAAAAAGAGAGATGATCATGTATGGGAAGAGGGCTTTATAATAAATCTTAACATTTTCGGACCTCCGTCTCTATTGTATGTCAAGGATGATATCATATTCCAAAAGAAACATAACCCTGACAAACAATCCTTGAGTGTCAAACATCCAGAGTTTAAAACAAAAAGTCATCCACGATAAGATCAACAACGCCAAATCTAGAACGCTAGATTTAAAAAAAAAATATATGTTCCTTCACACACAAAAATTTCAGAAAATGGGTTCAAAGGAACTAAAACATATTTGGTTGAGGCTTAGGTGGCTCAAGATAAGTGATAAGCCTCACACTAAAAAAAAGATAAGTTTAAGTGGTGTGATTTCCATGACGATTATCTATACTATCTTATAAAGCAAATTCAACAAAAGTCTTAAAAATCTTAAAATACTAAATGACCAAGATACCCTTTATATCACTTTTTCACCCCCTCCTCTCCTCACATACACTCACCCCCTTACATACACTCACCCATCACCATCGATTTTTTTTTAAATTATAATTTTAAAATTATATTTTATACCCCTATAATTAGTTAATTAATTTACTTTACGTCTTTTACTTTTAAATGTTTCATTTTAAACCTTTATCAAATTAATATACATGTTTAAAAAATACATTTTTATTTTAACAAGTTACACCATTATAATCGTCTCGTTAATACCTTCGAAATGAGTCCAATATTGAATATTTTTTGACTTAATTATATTATTATATATTATATATACCGTGAAAAAATATTTTTAATATTTACGATTTATACTTTTATAGTTATTTATTTATATATATATATACTATATATTTTTGGGGTTAGTCTGTCCAAATTGCACTGTATAATATGCTCTGAATTAATATGTTCTTTTTTTTTTGAAATATATATATACATGTATTAATTAAACCTTAATATGAGTTTCTGAACAAGAAAGAGGGTAAACAGTTGAAATTTCATTCTAAAACCCATCTTTTTTTGTCTTTTCATGGCTTATGATCTGTCAAATTTGTAGTTTTCYTTATTGGTTTTGAGTGTTTATCTTAAAACTCAAGTTTCTTGGTTCTTTGCTCTTGGTGTAAATTGAACACATTTGTGGAGTTGTTTATATATATTGGATTTTAAATATATTGGATTTTAAACTGTCATACAATTTTTTTATCGATAGTCTATAATTGGAACCATAACTCTTATTTATTCAAATTGTATTAATATGTAAAGACCAAGTGTAACATATATCATCGTTAAATCTTATCTTATAAAACCAGTGAAACTTCAAAATCGTTAAAATTCATGGCTCCCGCCGCATTGCACGGGTACACAACTAGTGGACATATAATTGAGCATTGTGTTGCATTTCGAAGAGGAATAACATGACTTTTCCCAAAAGGACACTTGCAAGAATTTCTTATGAAAGAAATTCCCACGAAAAATCATCTGCTATCACCGTCCCTATAGGTACTAAGGTAATAAATTGCATCACTGGTGGTTCTGATATATGTGGACTAAAATCACCACTGATAAAAAATATTGTTTATCAATTTTCTTATATTAAGGACCCGATCTAACAAAAATGACTATTATACCCTTATTTCAAATTAATGACATATTTTCAAATGTTTCACATATATTTTCAATTCTTTTTAATATTTGTAAGTATAATGCTTCTAAACTTCACAGAATGACAATACATCACTTCAAAACCCTTTTAATATCTTCTTCTTTCATTCTTGTAAGCATACATATCTATGAAGAATCCAAGTACATACATGATTTGAATTTGTTTCTAAAACCCTTTTAATATCTTGCCTTTTGGTCTCATTTAAAGCAAGTATTTGATCATTTATCTTGTAAAAATAGAGGGTTTTAGAGAGAAAGGAAGAACAGATGACGACCAAAGAAAACGAGAGATCAAAGAAACCGGAAGCCATAAGAGAGACTGTTGAGATATGTGCATAAGCTAAAAGCCACAGGTTTCCTCAGTACCAACATCGACATCCGAAGACTTTCTTTCCGACTTGGATCATAAATCTTCGGTGGTGGTGGTGGTGGTGGTGGTGGTGGTACTGGTATATACACGAGCTTTGCATCTACAAGAGCAGATGGCATCAGCAAGCAAAATGGAAGTCACTTGCCACGTCTTTAAAAAAAGGAACATTTTGGTCTTTGAGGATTGAGATTCTTATCTAGTAAGTAATTAAAGATGGTGATTCTTACCCTGTTAGCGTTTACTGGGTAAATTGTTACATACACCGACATTTTGATGGACTAAAATCTTACTCGATAAGGTAATCGAAAGTGTGTGTATTTGTATCAGTAAACAGTGCAAACGTTCGGATAAACGACTACATAGTATAGTCTTTTCCAATACAATAAAGTTATTTCTCTCACTCATTTTATCAAACACCTTAGATTTATTCACTCGACATGGGATATTTTTGTATTGAATGCAAGTACAAGTCCCAAAATATACAAAAACATCTAAGACCATCATCATAATTTAGAACACAATCAAATTGAAATGTAAAAAGATTGAATTACACTTTTGGTCCCTGTTTTTTGTTAACCGTTTGTGAACCATTTAACAGGAAATTCGTTTTATGTAATAAATGAATAAACATGGACACATGTTTTTGTTCGTTTAGTTAAATGAACAAAGAACGAACATGAACGATAGTTTACTTTTGTTTGTATAATGTATATATTATGACATCATTAATTTAATTATATTTTAATTACAATTCATTTTTTACATGCTTTAGTTAAATTTTACAATTCATTTGTTATATTATTTTTCAGGGATTCAGTAATGAAAAATATGGGACTGTTGTAAATCACGTATCAATCCATAATTGAGAAATAAATTAAGGTTTATAAAATATATAAAAAACAGAAAATTAAAAATGGTTACAAAAAAAAAAAAAAATTTATAGGATTAATTTACAACCCAAATTAAAGTAAATGCAATGTTTTAAGGAGAAATATTCAAAAGTTTGGTTTGACGTTTAGATATTGAAAAAACGGTTTGTTTTGATTATTCGAGGGTGCGTGTGCATGTCTCCATCCATCGTCCACCATCTGCTGATTTTGAAGTTAATTTCAAGAAATCACTTCATTTCGGATTCATGGGTTACAAAGACAAAATCAAGAATATCTTAATTAATACCCTTTTGCACTTTTTACTCAACACTATTATTAAACACTTGTAGTATACTGATTTTTGTCACTTGTCTTTGGATTTTGAGATCCGGTTATTGAAACCGCGTTTTTGAAGTCGATCATTGAAGGAGACTCTTGAAGTTGTCAAAGACGAGGGATAAGGTAATATGTCCTTCATTTCTTTATTTTGTGATCTGGGATGCTGAATAAATCTTCTCGATTGATCTGGGGTTTTAAAGCGATTTTTCTCCTCTGTAGTTGTGATTGAAATGGGTATAATAGATGGTTTGCACTGAAGGTGTTCGGTGATTTGTCTCTGAGAATGTGTTTTACTGTTTTACCTTCAAGACTTAAACTTGAGGTCTAGGGAGTTGAACATTTTGGGATATGTATGTATGAGAAATCTGTTTGATTATCTATTGTTGTTTGCTTCTGGTATTGCGACGTACCAGTTATTTGTAGTTTTGATTGGTGTATTATGAATGGCAACCTTTTCACCGTCGCCCAACTCTCCACCTGTCAGCGATCCTCCATTGCAGCCGAGTCCTCCTTCAGCACCCACTTCTACTCCACCACCTCAATCATCTCCTTCTACACCATCCAATCAGTCCCCACCCCCTTCAACAACAGCCCCTCCTCCATCATCCTCATCCCCACCACCACCGACATCACCTCCTCCTTCCACTGACCCCCCTTCTAATCCTCCACCAGCTAGTGTCCCACCTCCATCAAGACCCCCAATACCCTCATCTCCGCCTGTTTCATCCAGTCCACCAACCAATTCTCCACCCCCACCATCCAATTCTCCACCCCCACCATCCAATTCTCCACCTCCAGCATCCCCTACACCACCTAGGTCTCCACCGCCAGCATCCCCTACACCACCAACTAGGTCTCCACCGCCAGCATCCCCTACACCACCAACTAGGTCTCCACCTCCATCGTCGCCTATCCCCTCGGCTGGATCTCCACCTCCACCACCACCTACATCTCCCCCTAGATCCCCACCACCACCTAGTTCACCTCCATTGCCATCTTTAAGTCCACCATCAAGCTCACCTCCACCATCAGTTCCACCAAGAGACTCACCATCTCCTCCACCTCAACCACCAGAAGGTTCGCCTCCACCATCACCATTGGTGCCACCAACAAATCCACCTCCATCACCAATCTTGAGGCCTCCTCCACCAAGAACCCCCTCCCCTGAACCTAGTACAAATTCATCATCACCACCAAGAATAACAGCTCCCCCTCCCCCACCCCCCTCTACAAATTCATCATCACCTCCAGTAATAGTAGCCTCCCCTCCTCCATTCACATTATCACCTCCATCACCTTCAAATGTCTTGACACCCCCAGGCAACACAAATAACAATGATTCAAGTCCCAATACACCATCCAGCAGTGGAGGCATTGGTACTGGAGGTGTAGTTGGTATTGCTGCAGTACTAGGTGTGGTGCTGTTTACAATAATCATAGGAGTTTTATGGTGTGTGATCAAGCGGAAGAAAAAGTTTGCACGACATAATGAACTCTACGTTATGCCAACCTCAATGGGCGATTCACCAGCTTCAGGTAATAATATATTCATTTTTGTCACTTGTAATTCTACAACATAGCAGTTTGTCAATGGGCATGGACTGGGATACAAAGTGCTGAATGCATTTGCATAAGTTTGAGAAGGTTTATGATTTGTGACAGATTCAGGCCTACTAAAGATACAAACATCAGCAGTTCAGAATGGAAATATATCTGCCAATGACTTTGTATACAGTCCACAGGATCCTAGTGGATTAGGGAGTTCGAGACCACAGTTTAGTTATGAAGAGCTTGCCAAGGCTACAAATGGGTTCTCAGCACATAATCTTTTAGGTTCAGGTGGATTTGGTTCTGTTTACAAGGGATGCCTAGCTGATGGGATAGAAGTAGCAGTAAAGGAGCTTAAAATTGGAGGTGGACAAGGGGAACGTGAGTTCAGTGCTGAGGTGGAGATCATCAGTCGAATACACCACCGTTATTTGGTTTCACTTGTAGGTTACTGCATCTCTGAGAACAAGAGGTTGCTTGTTTATGAATATGTCCCTAACAACACACTTTACTTCCATCTTCATGGTAACCATCTTTTTCTTTTTCCTGATCAACCACATATTTTACCTCAGCATTCTTTGTTGATTGTTTCTAGTTGTCAAATAACTTGCATGGACAAGTAATTTGTCTGAGTTTCCCTTATAGGAAGTTTAGTCACCCCAAGGTGTTCTTTTTATGATATTTGCACTTGTTTTTGCAGGGTCAGAGCTGGTTTTAGATTGGCCGACTCGTGTAAAGGTTGCTTCTGGTGCAGCCCGCGGTATTGCTTATCTCCATGAAGACTGTAAGTGCTGAGCTTCTCATTGTCTTGAGTTTTATGGGCAGACCTTATGCCTTTTGACATGATTGCATAGGAAAGATATAATGGTTGATGGTTCAGTTGGACTTTTCTGTTTTCCCTTATCAGACATGCCCATTTAAGAATTAAAATAACTTTGGTCATAAATATGTGACTATCCAATTTCTCAGCACAGACAAAGTTAGAAGATAAAATGCATAGAAAATTTTCTTTTTTGAATCCTAGACTTGCACTTGAGCATAACATCCTATCATGTTAGGTGCTTGTTTTATGGTTAAACATTGCAGGATTTCTGAAATTTAGTCTCTTCAAAATTGTGTACTGTGAGGATACGAGCCCTGATTATGATCTAGGGCTTTGCTTCAGATATGTTTGTGGCTGCATAATTATATGGTGATGGCATAGAGTAGCTTTAGTCATGAACTAGAAAGTATACAACATTACAATGTGAAAATAATGGTTAAAGACGGCATTTGTTGAATCTACATTGATTTGTAAGGTTTGCACAATTCTTCATCACTTTGTTCACTTTTATTGTTATACAGGTCATCCACGAGTTATTCATCGAGATATCAAATCATCAAATATTTTATTAGATAAAAACTTTGAAGCTAGGGTATGCCCTTCTATTATCAATTTCATTTTTTCTGTACTCATTGTGTTCAAGAATTGGTTTTACAGCTTAAATATTTGTCTAATTCCTGACTCCACGCTTCACAGGTTGCTGATTTTGGGCTTGCAAAATTAGCTGCAGATCTGAACACTCACATAACAACACGCGTCATGGGAACTTTTGGGTATATAATGCTCCATCTATCATTTGATTAATAGTCAAATATCTAAAATATCTTTCAGTAATAACGCCATAAGAAATATTGTGGATCAACAGCAATGCTATCAATACTTTGTGATGATTTATAATGGACAAAAGGATAATTTTGGATTCAAAATTTGTCAAATAGAAAAAATGTTGCAGTTATTTTGGGGTAGGGAAGAATTATTAACTTTTCGACTCTTCTAATTACCACTTCTCCCTTTGCTTTTTATTGAGCTTTCAATTGTTTCTGTTTTCAGATACATGGCACCTGAATATGCTTCAAGTGGCAAGTTGACTGAAAAATCTGACGTCTTTTCCTTTGGTGTGGTTCTCTTGGAACTAATCACTGGACGTAAACCTGTGGATGCATCTCAACCTTTGGGGGATGAGAGTCTTGTTGAGTGGGTAAGTTACTGGATCTTTCCTTTTCTTGATAACATGGTTCAGTTTTTCCAACTTGTTTGGGCATACAAAGGATACCCCATTCCTCTGAACTTTTTACGTGAGAATATGGAGCGCATTAGTGAATCTCGTGAGAAATAAATATCTGTTAGGGTGCGTTTGGTGCGCAGACAAGACTGGACAGGACAGGACAGGACGGGACAGGACAGGACAGGACAGCTGTTCAGCGTTTGGTAAGACAGGACAGGACAGGATAGAACTGGTTAAAATGACCAATTTACCCCCAGTGAGCTGTTTAGTGTTTTTTCACTACGAAATGCATACTCTCGAAATAAATCATAATACTTCATTAAAATCCCTAATAAGTACTTCAATTAATCAAGTTGTTGGCGAAATCGAGTACGAAACCACCATCAAAATATAATTCCTTACTTGCATGAAATAAGAAGAAAGATATTTGAAGAGTTCCTTCAAATTCGTGAAGTAGTTGCTGTAAGAAGCAGCGGCGGCGGCCATCGGAAGAAGCAGCGGCGGCGGCCATCGGAGAAGCAGCGGCGGCGGCCATCGGGAGAAGCAGCGGCGGCGGCCATCGGAGAAGCAGCGGCGGCGGCCATCGGAAGTCGCCGTCACCGGACGCCGGTTGGGCGGTGGAAGCGATGGAGGAGAGGAGAGTGAAGGGGAAGAAGGAAGGTATGCGTATGAGGTTTTTGAGGGTAAAGTGGTAAAAAGTTTCTTGTTCTACTTAGTTCCATGGGTAAAGGGTGGACAACCTTGTCCCACCCTTGTTCTAGTTTGTTCTAGTTAGTCCCACATAAAACCACACCAAACATAGGACAATTGTGTTCTGTCCTGTCCTGTCCCACCCTGTCCAACGTACCAAACGCACCCTTAGTGTTTTGAACTTGAACTTAAAAAACTTTCATGAATAGATTTATATATCAGTATATCACCAATATAATATGGCATGGAGTCTTTTTGCTTTACAGATTGGCATTTCAATTTAATAAAGCATATAAAAAATATTGATTCCATCCACAAATACATGATCGTCAACAATGGTGTACACAAACACATAAATCCCTATGTATAACTGGTGTATCATGCCTACAGAGGAAAAGCAAGTACGGTGGTACATATTCAAATGGCTTACCTTGCTACCCACCATGTCACGTTTCACAAATTGGCAACTAAGCTATTCATACCCAAACAAAGTCAGTAATTAAGACGGCGACAATTGTGTTACGTTGTTATTTGTAGTTTCAGTAGGCCTAGGACCTAGTGTAATACCCTCATTTTCATCCTGAAGCTATATCATCATCAAATACAATGAAACTCTAATACTGAAGACAAATCTCATGTGGCTCAAGTCCAGAGCTGTCCCTGGAGGAGGGCGGGCCGGGCGCATGCCGAGGGCCCACAGGAAGTAGAGACCCAATTTTTTTTAGTATATAGTAGTTCAAAAGAAGTTGGTAAATAAAAGAGACAAATATTTTAGTATTAATTTAATAGGACTCAAAAAGAATTTAATATTATATTAAGGGCTCATACATGTATTAATTAATTAAATGGAGAAGAAAATATGTGAAAATTTAATTCGTTGTTCATTTTATAGTATTGTTTATTGTTTCTCTTAAGTTTTTTTTCTTATCTAATATCAAAGTATAAAACTACTTGCCTAGAAAACCTTGATATATTCTATATCATTCATCTCCCGCCGACTACTTTTTAATTATTCCATCCGCATGAATTCTATTTTTGTAATAGAGTATAGTAGACTTCTTGTTATTAGTTAAGAAAACTCCTACTTTTTGAAAATAATCACCAACCATGTGAGACGGTCCAACTTATATCTATATTTAGGATTTCAAAACTACCCTTTTTTTCATACATTATTGACTCTTTATTGCCTAATATTGAGTGCATGAATCTTAAGCACTTTCCTATCATTAAAACAAGAATAAGATCTCAAGCTATAACCAATATGGGTTTTTGATTCTAAGATTGATAGTCCTGAAAGTTTTGTTTTAATTTTTAGCTCTAAAAGTTTAAAACGGTGATAAAAGAACATTAACATGAGGCAACTAATTTATATGCTTTACCTAGAGTGTTACCCCGAAAACATTTAATACTGAAAATAAATGAAGTCTAGCTGGCCTAGACCTTCCTTTTGCTCTTGTCCACTCCTGATCTTGAGATATATGCGACTAGTCACCTAATAAGCTTAGTAAGTTCATGGTTTCATGCAACATTAATGCACATACTGAAAACATTGTTCCTTAAATAATTGTTATCCATATAAATCAAGCAGTGAAAACATGCTTACAAATTAAATAAAAATCCCTTAAAATAGATCTCACAGCTCCTTGTATCGCATGGTTCATCGTTTACCCTTATTTGGTTCAGATGGGAGCTACCCAACCTTTAACGATTGGATCCTTGCAGTTGCAGCCCATACCTGTCTGCCAATAACTGTTGGCGTCTTGGTTGGTGAAACCATATGCATACCAAAAACCATTTTCTTGCATGACACAAATAACTATTCCTCATGCACATGCTAAATGAAATAGAACATTTAAAACACAGAACATGTATATCTCCTCATACGAAACTGCCTACATGTACATGAATCACACACTGCTCCTTTACTGAAAACAAACATCACATACTAGTCCTTGCTACAAATAACATTTTATACATACTCATTCATCCATTTAAATGGCATGGTAGTGTAGTGCAATCTAAAACTAATCCTAGGGTAACTATGCTACCTTCGAGAGTACTTGCATATCATATTTGGACCCACTAGCTCAATTACTAACCATCGCATCCATACCTGCACTCCTAAACACAGCCTAACAAGTTCCAGTTGGACTAATCTGGAACAGAATTATTCTATCATAGAACACATTACAAAAACCAAAGTTTAGCATAAGAATTTTATCTTCAAATGTGGTGATTTCTTCTCTTGACTTCACTGCTCCTTGCTTTAATGGTGTTCCAAGAACACTCTCAAAACTCTCCCTTTCCTCTCTAAATCGTGAATGATGGAGAGAACTTACGATGGAATAGATTTTATAATCAAATCATTGATTTGCTCCTTAAATGGGATTGAAATCCCTGTCCATAATTATCACCATTGAATCCTCCGTTCCATGTAGAAGTTCTAAATGAAAATTGAATTTAATTATTATAACTTCTCAATAAAATTCCAAACTTTCATAATTGACACTTTGGCCCTTACACCAAAATACTTTCATAAATATTTGTTACAAATATCCGCTATTTTGGGGTGTTACACTTGGTCTTTTGCCACGACAATTGTTATAATATATGCATGGTTAAGACAAAAGGAATGGATGTATATGTCAATAGAGAACTTGGAAGCAACTAGGAACCAATCCTGTTCTCTTTTTAGAATATGTGCATCTAAGTGAACTAACTCTATTTTATTTGTGCCTAAGCAAGGAACTCCATTTCCACAAAATAATTATTTATCTGTTTGAATTGAACTATCGATTTGTTTTCACCTGTCAATCCCAACTCCTCATGTAGCCCCATCCACGGTGCTCAAGAGGGTATATATATTTACGCATTCCTCATTGGTGATCAACTACATACGAAAACTCCATCCATAGGAAAAGGTTAACTGCTTCTTTGGAAAGAACCCTTTTTTCCCGCTAATCCGTGGCTTTCAGTTGCTTTCTATTTCTTTTGCTTACCTTTTTTTGCAATCCGGGGATCTTCTCAGGAACAACCTCCCAATCTTTTGAGATAGAGGTAAGGCCCGCATACCTCCTATCCACCTCTCTCGACTGTACCTTCGGGTGGGATATACTGGGTTTTTTTAATTTGGGTTTCTTTGGAAAGATTATATGACGTTTATGAATGCAAAAGATAGTTATGACCTTCCCAATATACATGTATGGATGCTCTGAAGAATAATAGTATTGTATGAAGTTGCTTTGTTCTTTGAAAAGCTTAAAATGGTTTATTGAGATTGATTTGCATAGAAGAAAATATGTTAAGACTTTTAATGTAGCATTACAACTTCAATGGTGTTAAAAATCTACAGTTGCGGTTAAGATATCAAAATTCAAAAGTCTCACTCTAAACTTCTTATTTACAGTTTTTCTAACTCAACATTTGAAATCTGATATTTCAGGCTCGGCCTCTTCTTAGTCATGCAATTGAAACAGAGGACTTTGAAGGGTTGGTTGACCGAAGGCTTGGTACCAACTATGTTGCAAAAGAGATGTTTCGAATGATTGAAGCTGCAGCTGCATGTGTACGACACTCTTCTAATAAACGGCCACGCATGGGACAGGTACTTGTGCTCAATTCTGCATCTCAAAATACATTTTGTTGCCAAATACTCCCTCCTTCCCAAAACAAGTATCCACATTTCTATTTTAGTTTGTCCAAAATAAGTGTCCACTTTCAAAAGTAAGTGCATACCTTCCAGTTCTGCCCTTAATTATTAGATGAAAAAATCAAAAAATTTCTTTCAGCAAGCACTTGTTAGAAAGTTTGACTTGATTATCAATCTCTTCCTGAAATTTTAAGCAATCCATACCAATTTAGAAATTGAAAAGTAGTCCATTTGACCTCAAAGTCAAAAATTATCGATCTTCCCTGATATACTAAATGAATCCATTCGAGTTTTGAAGTTAAATAGTAGTCAATTAGACCTCAAAGTAAAAAGTTACTTTCTTTGTGGCGAGACCATTAAATATAATTCGGTTTCAACACGTCTCAGATTGTGAGAGCTTTCGAGAGTATGGAGAGCGATGATCTAAGCAACGGGATGAGAGTTGGAGAAAGTGAAATATTTAACTCTGCAGAACAATCTGCAGAGATTAGGCTGTTTCAGAGAATGGCTTTCGGCAGTCAAGATTACAGCACAGATTTTTTTACTCAAGGTAGCTATGGTCATAATAGTAACGAAAGGTAAATATGGAAGGTTGTGTCCATTTGATCGCCCAGAGGGTTTGATCCACGAGCAGAGTTCGTGTCAGCTCAGATTATGGCTGGTTTTGAGGGAAAATATTCAAAGCTGTGATCAGATTTTGTAAGTAGGTTCCATGGCCAGATGCTGTATATTATGCACATTCTTTTTGGCTGCACATTTTTGGTTCCTGTAAGTAACACATGTGATCCATTCTTTTGGTTTATTTATAACAAGTGCAGTCCTCATGTTTATCATTTGATGATCCTTGGGTCTGTGTATGCTCTTACTTTTTTTGCGTTAACGGGACTCGACCGGCGAGATTGAGGCAGGTGGGTGAAAGAATTTTGAAAGGTGTTAGGGTCTTAATCTAATACGAGTAGTTTAATTATTTACTAATCTTGTTTTATCTTCCATCTATTTTGGTGGGACAACCAGGCCGGTCTTATACTGGTTTAATGTTGGGACAACAGATTTTTGTTCTATCATATCATGTCACTCATATCAAATGCAAAAATCCATCAGAGTCCAATGAGTATTTGTGTTTGAAATGGGATTTTACGGATTGTGGGTTTTACTTGATTATTTAATTATATTAAATACAATAATTGTAACATATTATCATATTGATATATTATCTACGATATCAATGATGTTCCTTTTTGCAAGTGATGGGATGTCTCTTTCTCTCTTTGCTTCAGCGTGATCATGTTCTACAAGAAATCAATCAAATTTGTTAATGACATGATGTTTTTGCAAACTGTATTTGCTAACGTAACAAAGAACCGAACTATTATTAATCCATTAAAGAGACAAGATCCGTCCTAGAATCAACCAAAAATAGGGTTGAAGGTAACCCTACATTGGAAGCAATTCAATAAAGCAAAGTAATGGCACCACAACATGTTTGCTTACACTCTACTCTTTGTTTCCAAGATTTTAAGGCCATCTTCCAAGAAAAGAAGGAACCCATTTTCATCACAAGAAAATGAGTCCTCTTCTTCCCTTTCTTCCTCCTCTTTCTTCTTCGATTTCGGCCCATGGAGCGGCAAGATTGGAACATGATCGGTGCCGATTGTATCGTCTTATCGTGTTGTTGTCAATGTCTGCTCCTACAACTCCTAGTATTCGTCTTGCTTAAACTTCCCGCCAAACTGCTCAAGAAAATGAAACTGTATATGAAGAGGAAATTCAGAAAGGGTGGGAAGATGGTGAGGAGGAAGGTGGCTCGGTGTGCGGAGGAAGTTGTTAGGTGTAAGAAACAGAGAGGGTCGATGAGGGTTCGAGCTCGAACAGAGAGTTTCCTAGTAGATGGGTTCGGTGGGTGTATGGAGGAGGTTGAGGAGGTGTTGGAGGAGTTGTCTACAAAGGGTGAGTTTGGCTTTGGAAGTTTTTGGAGAGGAGACGATGATGATGATGGTGTTATTGTTGTTCATTTAAATCAAGAAATCGGACATACTCGTCAAGTATTTCGTCCCTTTTAAGGGTACATCGAGCAAGTATTAGTAATACTACACGTTCCTTTATATTCATATAAAGAGTACGCTATCAATTTGGTCCATGTCGTTTGTCGAAAATAACACTTTTTCGCTAAAAGATGACGAAAAAAATTCCATTAAATAAGAGACATTTTCGTCATTTATCAATTTTTTTTTTATTTTATCAAATCAAAATCGATTTTATAATGTTGGTCCCTGTGGTTTCTGATTAAGTAAAAGACAAAAAAAATGGATAAAAAGACGAAAATGTCCCTCATTTAACGAAATTTTTAATGGCCGTTATGGAAAGGGCAAAATCCGAACACTTTTTTTTTACAAACTACAATGGTTATCTTCTAACTTCAAAACTGCAAGAACAAAAAGTGTCATGGCTTTATAAATTGTCGCCTATCAAAATTCCATCATCAGAATTCGCATTGCATAAACAATGATATCTAGTTTTCATTTCCCGTTCAAGTTTTTAGGTAGCTTAAGATCCCTAATTGTGATACAACCACTTAACCTTTATGAGAAGATAGTCTCAAACGAAACTTAGCGACTTTGAGGTAGTTTATGGTCGCTTGACCAACTCGCTTGGTCTATGGTTGCACACAAATTCATATGCAACTCTAGAAAGTTGCATAAGAAACTTGTTTTTTGGCAATCATCTTGGCGACTTCGATGTGATGTGACCGTGTAGATGTCGCTTACCAAGTCACTTGCATTGTACCGAGACTTGGTATGCGAATCACATGAATTTCTAAGCCACTTCTAACTTTTTGTTCAATTTTCATTATAAAATTTACAAATAACATGCTTAATTATCATTTAGCATGTTATCTGTTAATATCAAACCATAGTAACATATTCTAATTTATGCATACTTCAACAACTCCAACTTCGATTCTTCCTTTCCCTCTCAAATTTCACTCTTTTTTAAGTTTTTCTCCAGGTTTTCTTAACATGATAGAATGAGTAAATGAACTATTATTCCTTCCATTAGAATACAGATTGAGCACGTATTAGAGCTCTTAAAACTGTTGCCCCTTGGTCGATCGTTGCCCCTATCACACATTCATCCAAACGTGTTTTTCCCATTTACAATCCAGTTACTAGCTTTGATAAATGATCATGTAGCCCCCCTGAACTTCTCAACGTTTAATTAATTGCATATTTAGTTTGTCAATTTAATTTTACATTGTATTCAAGTCATTGCGAGGTGTTACACTGATGATATATTGTTATATCTAAATGAGTTCAACAGTTCAACTAGTAGCTTAGAAAAATGAGGCATAAAATAGCACAAACAATTCTAAAAGGGCGTAAATGCACCTTCTGCTTTTTTATAACCCGAAAACCTAAACAAAATCTATATATATATATATATATATATATATATATATTAAAAGAAAATCCAAGAGGTATTGAGGTGACATCATGAGTTTAATGAATTTTATTATATAAAAATAAAAATGAATTGTGTTTATAATCATATATATCATGAGAATTGAGTATTGAGATGTTAGTAGATTATGGTTGAATTTGAGATATCCTACATTGGTGAGAAATTGAAAGATTAGGATAAGGATGTGTGTATAAGAAAGAAGATGAGGTTCATTGTGTCAACTCAAGGGGCTTGACTCATAAGGTTATTTTATCTAGATGATCCTATTTTTACAAAAATATTATTATATAAAAATAAAAACGAATTGTGTTTAATATATATATATATATATATATATATATATATATAAGAGCTACCAAGAGGTATTGAGGTGATAATATGGAAATTGAGTATTTAAATGTTGGTGAAAGGGTAAAAGATTCTATATATTAAAATAAAACCCAAGAGGTATTGAGGTGGCATCATGAGAATTGAGTATTGAGTTGTTAATGAATTGTGGTTGAGTTTGAGATATCCCACAGTGGTGAGAAATTGAAAGATTGGGATAAGGATATGTGCATAAGAAAGGAAATAAAATTCATTGTGTCAACTCAAGGGTTTGACTCATAAGGTTATCTTATTTGAATGACCCTATTTTTGCAAAACAAATCTTATTAATAAAAATAAAAATAAATCGTCATTATAATATTATATATATATATATATATATATATATGTATGTATGTATGTGTGTGTGTATGTGTGAGATAAAAGAGGTACCAAGAGGTATTGAGGTGATAACTTGAGAATTGAGTATTTAGATGTTGGTGAGAGGGTAAAATATTATATATATATATATATATATATATATATATTAAAGGAAAACTCAAGAGATATTGAGATGGCATCATGAAAATTAAGTATTAAGTAAATTGTGGTTGAGTATAAGATATCCCACGTTGGTGAGTAATTGAAAGATTGGGATAAGGATGTGTGTATAAGAAAGAAGACGAGATTCATTGTGTCAACTCAAGGGGCTTGACTCATAAAGTAATCATATTTGAATGACCTTATTTTTGCAAAACAAATCTTCTTATATAAAAATAAAAATGAATTGTGTTTATAATCACACACGTATGTAATAAAAAGAAGTACCAAGAGAAGGTATTAGGGTGATAACATGAGAATTGAGTATTTTAGATATTGGTGAAAGGATAAAAGATTGTATTAAAGGAAAACCCAAGAGGTATTGAGATGACATCTTGAGAATTGAGTATTGAGGTGTTGGTGAATTGTGATTGAGTTTGAGATATACCATATCGGTGAGAAATTGAAAGACTGGGATAAAGATGTGTGTATAAAAAAGAATATGAGATTCATTGTGTCAGCTCAATGGGCTAGACTTATAAGGTTATCTGTTGGTCCCAAACGGATCTACAAGAGTTTAAAGGTAACAGTTTGTAGAAGGGGGTGAATACAAACACAACAGTTTTCACTTTTTAAAATCCTTTATTGATAAAGAAGATCAATACATAATTTACTGTTTGCAGAATAAGATAAGATACAGAACTTATCTAAAACAATCTAAGAAAAACACTAGATACAGAAAGCAAGAAAGAAAAGACTTGATAAATGAAGAAACAATAACTTTGACAAAGAAGAGCCTAGTTGATGTTCTTCACTTGAAGTAAAGATAACTCCGAAAGATTAAGAAGTTTGTGCTTGTGAGGAAGTCCTTTCTTTGGTAGAAAGTTGATCTTCAAGAAGTAAGTTTCTTGGCTTGATTGATGATAATGAGAAGGAGGAACTTCTCAACTATTTATACCCATTGCATTAAATGCAAGTCAGACGGTACTAGGCACGCGACAAGCTTCTAGAGATGAGCTGGTCCTTTGTCTTCAGATATACAAGCTTTTGCCGTATATGAACAGTAGTCTTTCACAAAGTAGATAAACACATTTGGAGACAATAGAGTAACTCCGTACGAGTGTTTTACTTTAAGAGATATGGGTTTGTCCTTTGTGTGTAGGAGTATAAGACAAAAACTAATCTTGGTTAACAAGATTCATTTGATCGCTGACACTGAAATAACACTAGGGTTTCTTCAGTGTATGTTGAATCTTGAGTAGATTTCCACATGTGTAGACATGCTTGTTATCACTGGAACCGTATCAGATCACGAATTGCTTATCTTTGTCTTCAGTTTTATCTTTGATATCGTTGAAGGTTCTTGTGGTGTGAGTTTTGTCTTCTTGAATAATACTTGTATCTGAGAGATACAATACTTGTTCAGCGATCACTGAACAAACTCAGTGATGATCGCTGAAAGTGAATAAAGAGAAAGTAGTTTTCGTAAGATAAAAAGAATCATCATCAAATCTCTAAGAGAGAGAGGATCAACATTATCTTATTTGGATGACCCTATTTTTACAAAACAAATCTTATTATATGAAAATAAAAATGAATTGTGTTTATAATCATATATATATATATATATATATATATATATATAATAAAAGAAGTAACAAGAAGTATTGAGGTGATAACTTGTGAATTTAGTATTTAGATATTGGTGAAAGGGTAAAAGATTGGAATAAGGAGATGCATATAAGAAAGAAGGATGAGATTCATTGTTTCAACTCGTGAGGCTTGATTCATTAATCATCAATATATATAAAAAGAACCAAGAGATATTGAAATGACATCATGAGAATTGAGTATTGTGATGTTGGTGAATTGTGATAGAGTTCGAGATATCACATATTGGTGAGAGATTGAAAGATTAGGATAAGAAGGTGTGTACAAGAAACAAGGATGAGATTCGTTGTGTCAACTCAAGGGACTTGACTCATAAGATTATCTTATTTGGATATTGAGGTGACACCATGAGAATTGAGTATTTAGGTTTTGATGAATTATGGTTGAGTTTAAGATATCTCACATTAGTGAGAAGTTAAAATATTAGAATAAGGAGGTGTACATAGAAAGAAGAATGAGATTTATTGTTTCAACTTATGAGCCTTGACTCATATGGTCATGTTATTTAGATGACCCTATTTTTGTAAAATAAATCTTATTATATAAAAATAAAATCAATATATATATATATATATATATATATATATATAGGAGTGATCAAATGAAAATCACCCTCATTTGTACAAATCGTACAAACCACCTTCATACGTCGATTTCATTGTTTAATCTTATGAAATGTTTTTATGAAATTGTTTAATCTTGTGCAATTGTTTCATATAATACTTTTTTTGATGAATTTGTTTCATATATGATTATGAAATTGTTTCATATAATACTTTTTTTGATGAATTTGTTTCATATATGATTATGAAATTGTTTCATATATGATTATGAAATTGTTTCATATATGATTATGAAATTGTTTCATATAATATTTAATGAAATTTTAATGAAACTGTTTCATGTATTTCTCTAAAATTAAAATAATGAAGGTGATAATATCCATTATTAACACCCTCCACAATAAAAATGTTTAATCAACCTCTCATAATTACAAAAAAATGAACAAAATGAAAAATTATGATTGGTTGAATGTGGTTTTCACGGTTTGTACAAATTAGGTGGTTTTTATTTGAACGCTCCTCTATATATAAGCCGGCCCTGGCCACATGCAGCCCGTGCGGTCGCATAGGGCATCAAAGCCTAAAGGGACATCAAGTTGTCATTTATTACTAGTTTTGAGTTTAATAATTTAAGAATTGGACAACTGAGCTTTAACTATAAAAACAGGTCTAAGGCCTAGTAGTGATGAATACTGAATGCTCATCGTTGGAAAAAGTTGAAAAAGTTTTCGTTTGTATAAAGTTGTCTATATGAATTAGTGTGTTTGTATAAGTTGGAAATTTTTTTGTTTGAGAGAGTTTTTTCGTAGATGTAAGAAGCGTTTTTTTAGTTGGAGGGGACATGTGCTTTCTATATAAAGCTCCTCCTAGAAGCTTATTGGATAAGTCACTTTTTATATCATTAAGCCACTACGAAACAGTCATGCACAGTTTAGCGAATAAGCTATTAGTTCCATTAAACTTATTAAGTTGCTAACATATAGGTTCTTAGCCTTTAGTCATTAAACCTGTAACTTTTGAATTTTACTTTTTGCTTACTATGACAGTAACTTGGATGTAATTTACCAAAGGGCCTTTGGCCTAGCGGTATCGTAGCCCTTGGCCTTCTAGAAGGTCAGGGGTTCAAACCTCACCATAGGTGAGGAGGGTGTGTGAGTTTATTTGTTGCATTTGCCGTATATAAATATTATATACTTCAAAAAAAAAACTTGGATATAATTTACTATCTTAGTTTAAAACTAATTATAGTTTTCCTTGTCTTTTAAGTCTCATATATTGAAATAAAGTTTCTATTTTGCTAATTTAAATTTGGAATAGAAGGAAGCACGATCTTAATTCAAGATTTATTCTTTTATCATTTATATTTTGTATTCGGGGTTTTGGTTTTTATGTTCCCCTCATTGTATTTGTTTTATTATAATTAATAAAAATCAACATGAGGATGAGATACTTAGGTGCTGTTTACCAAATTTTCTATTAAGTTCTGTATGGATAAATTTGCCTGTCTGGATAAATTTGTCTGTCTGGATAAATTTATGTTGTTGTTTACTTTTCTATCTGAATCAATAGTCTGAATAACATAAATGACTAATTTACCCCTAAGAATAAAACAGAATGAACAGCTGATAATCTGTATGCTGCCATAGAGAATGAAATATGTTTGATTTTAACAGAGTGAATAATGGAAGGGAAGAAATCATAACCATCAATATCTGTAACAATGTATCAATTACAAAAATCGAGCAAACAGAAATCGAACACAAGCATGAAATCGAACACAAGCAAGCAGAAATCGAACACAAGCAAGCAAACAGAAATCGAACCATCAAACAGAAATCGAGCAAACAGAAATCCAACAAGCATGAAATCGAACACAAGCAAGCAAACAAAAATCAAACACAAGCAAACAAACAGAAATCGAACCATCAAACAGAAATCGAGCAAACAGAAATCCAACAAGCATGAAATCGAACACAAGCAAGCAAACAGAAATCGAGCAAACAGAAATCGAGCAAACATGAAATCGATATGGAACTTGAAGTCGATTTGTCGATGGAGAAGAAGAGAGTGTCGACTGTCATGGAGAAGAAGAGAGCAATCGGGCCGATTAGGGTTCTTTGGAGGAGAAGAGGGCGTCGATTGAAGCAAGCAGATGGTACCCAACAACAATCGATTTGAAGATACACTAGGGTTCATGGCCGAGGAAGAAGATACCTAGGGTTCACGATCGTTGATAGGGAGGGAGTGTTTTGAGGAAGAAGATACGCTAGGGTTCATGGCCAAGGGTATGAGGGTCTTTTTTTGGGCTTAATGGGGACAAGTGTTGTTTTTGATCTGTGCGAATAAGCCCCTTTCTGTGCGAATAAGCCCAAAGTAAACACATCATTTTGGATGTGCGAATAAGCCCATTTACTGATTAAGCTCATTAAGCCTCAAGTAAACACACCCTTAGATTGAATAGGTTCTAATCTCTTTTTAAAAAATCGCATGTTTCATTGGCTTAAAAAAATGGGGTTAGGGGCATATTTTATTATTTTCACACGGGGCATCAAAAATCTTAGGACCGACCCTGCCTATATATATATATATATATATATATATATATATAATATCCAAGAGGTATTGAGGTGACATCATGAGAATTGAGTATTGAGGTGTTAGTGAATTGTAGTTGAGTTTGAGATTTTCCAAATCGATGAGAGATTGAAAGATTGAAATAAGGAGGTGTGTACAAGAAAGAAAGATGAGATTCATTGTGTTAACTCAAGAAGCTTGACTCATAATGTTATCTTATTTGGATGACCCTATTTATATCTTCTTATATAAAAATAAAAATAGAATTGTGTTCACAATCATAAATATTATGTATATATTTATATCTTTATACATATAAAAGAAAGCCTTTAGGGTATTCACGTGACACCATGAGAATTAAGTATTTCTAAATGGTGAATTGTGATTGAGTTTTTGTTGTCCCACATTGGTTTAGTTTTAGTTGTCCCATACTGGTGAGAAGTTGAAAGATTTGAAGAAAGTGATGTGTATAAGAAATGTGGATTAGATGCATTTGTGTCAATTCATGAGGTTTGATGCATAAAGTAGTCTTATTTTGGATTACCCTCTTTAAAATCAATAACCATAGTTGGTATTAAAACCAACTAAAGGACAAAAATTATAATGCAAAATTAAAAGTGAAACAAATGATGATGACGTGGCATTATGAGGTCTAAGTGTTTCTCAAATATTGAAATAAAGTTGACTTTCATCATCTTACATTGGTGTAAAAAATGACAGTTTGGATGAAGATGGTGGATATATAAAGAGTGATGAATGCTTTGAAAAATGTATAACCACTGTTGAAATCAAAACCAACCAAATGATAAAATTATAGTGCAAAACATTCAGTTAAATATCATGCAAAACACAAAGTTAAAAAAACGAATTATTCATATCACAAAAATATCAATCATCTTAAAATAAGATTGAGTTTCATCATCACACATTGGTGGAAATATGATAATTTGGAAAAAGATAGAATGATATATATAAGTGATTGATGCTTTGAAATCTATAAACATAGGTGGAATTAAAACCAACCAAATGGTAAAATTATAGTGCGAAACACAGTTAAAAATATCATGCAAGACACAAAGTTAAAAATAAATTAAAGTATACAAGTAAACAAAAACAAAGATTGATGTTGTATCCAAATAGTTGAGTAATCTTCGTTTCTTAAATTATGGTTGAGTTTTTTTTATCTCATATTAATGAAGATATGAAATATTAATAATAAATAATATGTATATGAAAAGTGGTTGAGATGCCTTTGTGACAACTAATAGGATAAACTCCCTTAAATCGATCATCTACACTTATGTTGTTGACTCATTTTGACTGACCCTTCAAACTAATGTAGTCCGTTCAATTCTATTGATTTGTCATATTTTACCAGTAAAATAAAAAGATATAAAAAAACGATTTTATAAGAAATTTTCTCCATTAATTCCCACCAAATTCTAAATTTTTTTTTTTTTTCTCCAACCCGACTTCCATGAAAATGTCTTTGAATGATAAAAGAGACGCAATAAAAAACCAGAAGATAACCACCGACCCAATCATCTGCAAGAATCTTTCGACCTTCTCAGAAATCCCATTTCCCCCTTTTCTGTTTCAAAATTATCAACCCTAAATCTTCCATTAAATTTCCCCTTAATCGTTGTTCTGTGATCATTCATGGTTATGGCTCAACTTCAATCCGATCAGGTGAAACAATTGAAAGATATATTCGCCAGATTCGACATGAATTCCGATGGCAGCCTCACCCAACTCGAACTCGCCGCCCTTCTCCGATCGATTGGGCTCAAGCCACAAGGTGACCAGATCCATTCCTTGTTAGCCAGCATGGATTCAAATGGGAACGGATCCATCGAGTTCGAGGAATTGTTGAACGCGATTCTACCAGATTTGAATGAGGAGGTCCTCATCAACCACGACCAACTCATGGAGGTTTTTCGATCGTTTGACAAAGACGGAAACGGGTACATCACGGCGGCGGAACTCGCCGGTCAAATGGCGAAATTGGGTCAACCGCTGTCGTACCAAGAGCTCACGGAGATGATGCGGGAAGCCGATGCCAATGGTGATGGCGTCATCAGCTTCAATGAATTCACGGCCATTTTGGGGAAATCAGCGTCGGACTTTTTTCGGGTCACGGCGAGGTAGCGTGACCCGCCCGGCGGCGGTTGACGACTAATGTGAAATGGGTTTGACTTATTCCCGTTGACCCCTTACCCTTCAATTTTTTTAATTAGATATAGAACAATCTTTTTCAATTAATTGTGTATATTTATTAATTATAATTATATTAGTTTCGTCTTCAAATATGTTTTCTCAATTTGTTTATTTGACGTTTAGATTATTTGCTAATTAAAATATCATTAACAATTCGTTGACCGTCTGTTCGATGAAATGTCTTAATGAAATCTTTCCACAATTTGTAACTGATTGATCATATTTTTTTTCTTTTTGAAAACCGTGTAAGTTTCTGAGTAAAAGTTTATGCATCGAAAGGTCCCACATGCAACCATAAAGTCATCAATTTAATTAAAAACCTTAGTCGTCGTTTTTTTGCATAAGAATAATGCTCTATTTAGAAAGAAAAAAAAGGTTGAATAAGACGCTTGATTGCTTTCAAACACGGGGTTTCTGCATCGTCATGACTCTTCATTGCTATGATTTTTTCGAAGAGTCATAGCAATGTAGAAAACATGTGTTAGAAAGCGCCCAAACTCATTTACATACGAATTTTCGTATGTTCACATATGAAATGCAATAGCAGGGGTCGTTTGGTTGGTCAATCCTATGGGACATGGTTGATCGACCTATGATTCAATTCGTGTTATTCGTTGGTTATAAAATCTTCTCAATTCATTTGCAGAAGATGTTTTGCATTAACCCACAAATTATTCGAACCAAAAGTGCTAGTTTTTTATAAAAACCAAAAGTCGTTATTTTTGTGTATATTTAATAGTTAAATTGTCGAAATATTACGTTACAATTAGGGGGTGCTCAAAAACCCGATCAACCCAACCCAACCTAATGCGAAATAACTTAACCCGATGTCTAATCGAGTTGTAAAATTGTCAAACCGTAGGTGTTATGTTGATATTGGGTTACTATTGTTTGAACCCAACCCAACCCGATGAACACGATATCCTTTTATTTCTTGGATTTAATATGATTGTTCAATTTCTATAATATATATACTTTAAAAATTACACTATCATGTATGCTCTTCATATACACATATTTTCAATCTATTCAAATCTCTTTATAACTCATTCGTATATATGTTCAGTAACTGTGAACATATATATGTAAATTGAGAAAATTAACTGAATATGATATACGTAAGAAGTGGGGATAAATTGTATCAGATGGTTGATGATGAAAAAGAAATTATGAGTAGAGAAATAACATATTCAAGGTTAGAAAAATATCTTAATGTACCAAAGTATCAACCCGACCAACCCATACAGGTTGGATTGGGTTGGATTGAGTTAAGATTTTTCAAACCGCAATCATTGGGTTGGATTGTTCAATGTCTTCAACCCGATCAACCCAACCCATGAACACCCCTAGTTACAATGAACTAAAATGAGGAAATAAACCCACAACCAAAAAACACCGGGTAAACAATCATATTTCGGCCAACACTTGATTATTATAATGGTTATCTTTTGCCGTTTAACTTTTAAGACAAAACACTTAGGGCGCGTTTGGTTTGAGGGATTTGGATTTGAAATCCATTCCCATCCCTGTTTGGTTTGCTAATAGATCAGGATTTCAAATCCCGTGTTGAACTTAAAATCCGGTAAACAAGGGATTTTGAAATCCAAAGTAAATGGGCTGGATTTCAAATCCGGGCGACATCTCTTCTTCAACTTCTTCGACTCTTTCAATCTTCATGCCCCCATCTCCATATCCAGAACTCTCGTTTCAATCTTCATGCCCTTCGTCGCCGTTCGTCTCCCTCTCCCTTCGTCGTCGTTCGTCGCCCTCTCCCTTCGTCGCCGTTCGTCTCCCTCTCCCTTCGTCGTCGTTCGTCGCCCTCTCCCTTCGTCGCCGTTCGTCTCCCTCTCCCTTCGTCGTCTCCGTCGCCCACTGCCTTCTCCCATCACTCAACAGGTAAATCCTTTTTCCCCTAATCTGCTTCCTACAGATTAGGTTAAATATACAGATTAGGTTCAATATACAGATTAGGTTGAGGGATTAGGTTGACAGATTAGGTTGAATATACAGATTAGGTTCGATAATTTTGCTGTAATTCTCGATAATTTTGCTGTAGTTCTCGATAATTGTCAATTGAGTAAGGAGACCCAATACTACAAATCCTACAAACCAAACAAAGGATGGATTTTAAATCCAATCCATTCCAAATCCCATGGAATCCAAATCCCTCACGGGAATCCAAATCCCTCAAAAACATTCCTGCAAACCAAACGCACCCTTAGTAAACAATATTTTTTCGGACGAGGTTTAATTTAAAAAAGAACATCTTACTCCAGACACGTTATAATAAAATCGAGTTTATAGGATACGTAAAATGTCTAAAGTCCTGATAGACAAATAGCGTGTTTTATAACATTTAAGTTTATTGGATAAAATGATAAAATGTCATATCAAAAAGTGTTACAATGGGTTTAATGATAAAATGTCAAATAAAAAAGTATTACAATGGGTTTACATGACATTTTTGAATGTTTTAACAAATTCTTTTAGAATATTTTTTAAATAAAATATCGTATTAGTTATTTTTATATGACACTTTTATAAGTCCATCTTTTTATAAGACATTTGTGTATATTGGCACCTTTTCAAATACTATCATATAAAATAACTAACATGGCACTAATTTAAAAATGTCCTAAAAATTTGTTAAAACACTCGAAAGTGTCATATAAACTTACTGTAACTTTTACATATGACGTTTTATGGTTTGGTTTTATAAACATAAATCATATAAATCACTCTTTTAGAACACTTTGTTGTGCTGTTTGTTTTTAAGAGGCGCTAGTCCAAAGAATTTTTTACTTCCAGTTGATAAGAGGCGGTAGTAAAGTCTGAAAGTAGAATCAATAAGATTCTATGTTTTTAAAACTGATTAAATGATTGAATGCGCGTAATTGTTTATTTTACCATTCATAATATAAATTATATATTTTCACACACACACACATATACATACACACACACACACACATATATATATAGGAAGGATTATGCTAAAAGTTAATCAATTTGTAAGAAGAAGAGAAGTTTCAAGATCATATATGATTACATGTGATAGACACGCTTAATCATATATGATTAAAGAGACTTAAAAGAGACGCATGTGACTTGGTGAAACTATTAGTGATAAATATATATATAATATTTGTATATATCATGCATTTTGTAGATAGATATTAGTTTCCTAAACAATAGGATTATTTGTTATGTAATACTTTATATACAAGATTATTAATGAATGAAATCAAAGAGAAGGAATCATTTCTCCTTTATGGTATCAGAGCCTAGTTTTCTTTTACTTTCTCAACCCTAAACAACCTGTAACCTTTTGCCACGGCAAATAACCTACATCTATTCATGGCACCCAACAATCCTAACCCTCCCAAACATATATCTTTTCATCCAATTTATACTATTACCAACATCCAAAAAGAATTCCTATTCTTGATGGCATGAAAGTCACGTACAATTCATGGGTAAAACTTTTTAAATTGCATGCCCGTGGTTATAATGTTCTTGATCACCTTGACAGTACGCCGCCACCTGTTGAGAATGACGATGTCTATGCTTCTTGGGTCGAAATTGATGCCATCGACTTCCAATGGATATATGGCACACTCTCCGACGATCTCCTAGTTCACGTACTCGACAATGATACAATGGCATACAAAGCATGGACCCAGGTTCAAGAAATCTTCACCAACAATAAGGGCTCCCGTGCGGCCGCCCTCGAACACGAGTTCACCAATTTAACCTTGAATTCAGTCTTTACTTAGACGAATATTGTCAAAAACTAAAGGATCTTGTAGACCAACTCTTAAATGTCGAAAACCTGGTCTCCAAAAATCGTCTAGTACTCCAACTCGTCCGCGGGATGCCCACCGAATACGATACTATTGCGTCCTTCATAAATCAAAGTCTTCTCTCATGGGACAACGAACGAAGCATGTTACAACTAGAACAACACCGACAATCAACACGATTAAACCTCTTGACCCCGAATGCAATGATTACGACGTCGACAACTCCAAACGATGACGGTCCTACATCAGCACCACGAGAAGGAAACTAGCGCCAACTAGGACGGAGTCGTGGTCGCAACACCCAGTTGGACCGTGGGGGACAGGGCTCTTACAATCGTGGGGGATAAGGCTCTTACAATCGCAGACATCCAACCCAAGCCCAACAACAGCAACCTATCGGCCCAATGCGACATCAAACCTACGTCGAGCCAACATACGCTCATTGGGCTTGGTGGGAACAACCTCCTTGCCACCACCCAACACAGTCACCATTACTTGGACAGTGGCCCAACCAAATGAGCATTCCACCTGGATCAACCACAATGTCGACAACCAATATGGCTTACGCACCGGGACGGCAGACCACAGACAAAAAAAAAAAAAAAAACTAACCAGGTGCCACAACCCAGTTATGATACACTCAACCCAACAAAACTCGGGCATGCTTTGTTAGACAATGCATCTTAATCCACCTGATTGGTACATGGACACAGGCGCCTCTTCGCACATGACGGCCAACTCCGGTAACGTATCTTCTCTCGTGTCGTTTTCTTCTAAACGAGTTATTTTTGTAGGAAATGACAATAACATACCAGTTTTGGGATCCGATTACGCTCACTACACCACACCAAATCAAACTTATAACCTGCGTAATATACTTTACAACCCACACATTATAAAAAATCTACTTTCTGTTCATAAATTTTCCCATGACAATAGTATCTCTATCGAATTTGACCCTTAGGGTTTTTCTGTGAAGGAACTCAAGACTAGGAAAATTCTTTCACGCCAAAATAGCTCTAGAGACCTATACACGCTCACCCCGTCATCATCTTCATCTACAACTGTTGGTCACGTAAGGGTCTACAAGAAGAGAAACAGTTTGTAGAAGGAGGGGATGAATACAAACACAGTATTTTCAAATTTAAAATATATATTGATAGAGAAGATCAATACAGATTTTACAACATTGTTTGCGGAAAGATGAGGTAATAAAAACCTATCTAAACAATCTTTGGTTACACACGATGCTTTAGCAATTACAAGAAAAGAAGTTGCTAAAAGAAAGATCATTTACTTAAGCTAGAAGATGCTTGAAGTAAGAATTAGGTTAGAGAGAGATGCGCTCTCCCTGCGTGGAGAAGAAACACTTCTATTTATACCCAGTGCATTAAATCTCCATTTAA